CAGCTCTTTAACAATGTACGCCTTCCGAGCAAACTTGCATCAGATGGCACTTTTATGTAGTATTTTGCCACCAACCTTAACACTGCATCTTTTCGGTTTTGGATCGAGCACACACAACTATTCCGCAAAGGTTTTAAACTCATTATACGTCAGAGCACATTGTATCCAAGCATTGCATAAATGCATCCATGCAAATCCAGCTGGTCGAATAGGAGAGACACTAAGAGGCTACTCCCTAAAGCTCCAGGGGTGTGTTGCATTGCTTTCAGCTGTGACCATCCTACTCTGAGCAATCTTCTTCTTGTTGTTGTTTTAAAAAAGAGCTAAAATAATTAGGCTATCAAGTTGATCGGGTGCATCAGTGCACTTGGCTGCTCTAGGTCACTAAGTCAAACTTCCCAACTTGTTGACAAGGAGTATTTTAAAGGCATCCTGGAAACAGTGGCCAATAATTCACATGCACTTAGGTAAAAATGACTGGATGCCTTGCTTACTGACAGCCAAGGTGCAAACCAGCTCCACTGGGAACCATCCCGTGTCAAAACTGAAGGGAAAGTCACATGTGGTATCAGAAGTGGGGTGATCCATTTACATACACAGCCCATCCGATGAGTGACTCAATCCTAAAACAAGGAGTGGCAGCATGTCCCTTTTGGGGAGATAGGTGTGCATGGTGACCTTATTCATAGAACTGGAAGGGACCAAGAGGATCATCTACTCTAACTGCAGGGATCTGCAGGAGACTTTCACCAAATATGGGACTTGAACCCACAACCCTGGGATTAAGAGTTTCATGCTCTACCAACCGAGCTATCCCTCAGGAATATATGCTTGTAGACTGGCTCCATTATATTCTTTGGTACCTACTTTGATGTAAGGGGAGCTTTAGCCTCAGAGGGAATATTAAGCAGAACAGCTCGGAGAAAGGCAAAAATCACAATCCCCTTCCAAGGACAAAAAGGGTTAGCTTCTGACAATGATGTTATAGATTTCCAGCCTTATGAAACGGGGCTGGACTAAATGACTCATGGTATCCCCTCCACCTCTTATACCAGACTCCAAACACATATGTTGATCATGCAACTATCCCAGAAACAGTGCCCAGCACATGCATCAAATGCAGACAGATGTCCTTTTCATTTAACATCGATGACACTAGGCCAGTTAAGCTGCATGTGATCGCACTTTCAATGCTGTTTGTGCCCGCAAAAGTCTTGGGGCAGATGCACTGCTGTGTTTCCAATCTGCACATACTCTGTAGCTTCCTCCTGAAATCCTGTAACTTTTTATGCCACAAATGTCTCGGGGCGTGTCTCCTGCTTTTGCTGCGCTATAGTGCAAGAGTGCAATAAAACTGGGGAGCCATCACAGAGCTACTGCTACAGCAAAATGACGTTTGGATGGTCCAATATTTAACCACCACTAATGCACTACTGTTGAGTCAACGGCATGCTGCAGAATCGCCAGTCTGGTGGGGCTCACAGCACAGGCAATTGTTAAAGGAATGAGCTGTGAGCGACGAAGAACCCTTGATGAAATTTCACTTGAGTCATAATAAACTCAAGTAGGGAGATTTCTTGGGCAAGCCACTATTCTCTCAGCCACAGCCTCTGCAATATGGGAATAATAATACTGGACTACCTTATGCAGCTGTGGCAAAGATTAATGCAGAGATAATATAGGCACCACACGTGAAATGGACTGTATCAGTACTATGTTGTAGTATTACCATCTTATCGAATTACATTCTTTGCAGCAGCTACTGAGAAAACATGAGCAAGTAATCTAGAAGGAAAGCACTGGCAGATTGCAAAGGTGGTTCACTAATCTGACGAAGCCAAGTCAACAGTTACCGCTGGAATGATTTATTTTTGCTATGCAGTTTGATATTCCACGAGGACTGGCCAGGTCAGTCGCCGCTACTTCATGTATTTGCTGCAGGCATTCTACTTCTTTTGGACCCTTTGCCACAGCCTTAAAACCACATGCAATAAATACGGCACAGTCAATTCAATTATTACAACCTGCAGAGCTATACATGGTGGAGAGAATGCATTGTGGGACTAGATGATCAATTTTATGATTCTACTATCATTAAGATCAGTGACTACGGAACAGGGTGGGGGGACCTTCTCCCCCATTTCCTTACCCCTTCAAAGTGAAAGGAAAGAGTTGGGACTGCTCTGTTCTAGTACCATCGAAGAATAGTGAATTTATTATTTACATTAATAATAATGCAAGTAAGTTTTTTAAAAAATAAAAAATGTGGCACTGGGACGTGGTACCAGTTGCATTTTTTATTCAGGATTTATATTTCTTATTCCTTCAAAGTAATTGGTTACATGAAGGTATCATTAAAACCTTTTTTGTGTGTGTGTGTTGACATTTCTAACCAAGGGTCCAAGTTTAGTAGCCCAGGAGCTTGAAGGAAAATGCAGTAGCTTTAACACAACTTTACCCTGTTGCCACACACCCAATGTCCAAATGGGAAACGGCCATAGCTCAGTGGATAAGTATCTGTTTTTCATGTAAAAGGTCCTCGGTTCAATCCCCAGGTAGGGCTGGAAGGGAATTATTTCTGAAACCCCTGACAGCATAGACAATACTAAACTAGGTGGACCAAACAGTCTGAAACAATATAAGTCCGCTTCCTATGATTTTCGTTTTCCGAATCACAGACTTCGGAACAACCCAATGCCTCTTATGAACAAACCCTAACAGAAGTAGACTTGGTCTGAAAATACCACATGGAAATGTCAACAGATTCACTCTCACACCCACAAAGGTGTCAAGGGTAGCCCTGCCAGCCTTGAGAGGAAAATAGACACTAACCAAGAGACAAAACAAACTCCTGTGGCACCTTGTAAAAACCAACAGAATTGTTAGGCATAGGCTTTACAGGCACAGACCTGCAGATGAAATATTTCAGCCTATGAAGGTTCCACGAGACTCTTGTTTTTGACATGAAAACGGCGTTCTTCTATTCCTTGAGAAGAGGCAATGAAATGGGTCTTTTAAAAATGCAAAGGAGTATTTCCCAAAACCCTGGAGCGCAGCTGCCTGTCAGGGCAGACTGCACTGAGCCAGATGAGCTAGTCTGGGTTTGGCCCGCATCCTGTTCACACATTACTGGCACTAATTAAAGTTTTGAATTTTTAAATAAATAATAATAGGAAATAAGTAATAGATTGATAGCTATTCCTTCCGAAACAGGAGGAGAAAAACTGGCAGAGCCAAGAAATAACCCATTGGGCACCCGTACATTGAACTAAACCATACCCAATTCCCAAAGCCTCTAAAGAAAAATGAGAATATTTGAATAGTGGGCCCTTCACAGCTCTGAGGAGTATGTCCTTATAATATCACATTTACTGGGGGGGGGGATAGCCCTCCAAAGTGTGCAATGCTTTGGGAGAGAAAAGTTTGGGAGGAAAGGGGGGGCACTAAGTAGGATTTTCGCCCACGCAACCAGACAGCTGGATGCTTCAAGGTTGCTAGGAGGCCACTGCGGCCTTGAAAGCAATGCGTAGCACACCTCACATGCTTTTCCACCCAGGCAGTGAGGCACAACTGAGATCCACGCTACTCTCAGCAACCATCAGAATTGCCAAGACAGAAGAGGCAGCCTGGAGAAGTTTGGGGAAATTTGGGGGTGCTTTGGTGGTGGGTAAGTTTAAAGTGCATGCCTTTCAAGTAGCAGAAATGTCCCTGATTTGAACCTTGATGTTTCTTTCTCTCCCCCCCCCCACCAGCTGTCCCTCATTATGCTGCCTGTGCCTTTGATTTCCACCAGGTGTTCCCGGACTTTGGGATTTATCAGCCGAAGAGCTGCTGGAGACTCTACTGGGCCCCCCACTGTAACAGCAAGAGACACCCCAGGTGATTCGAAACTTGGGAATGGTTAGGAAATGTTTCATACAGTGCTCCTTTGGGAAGAGACATCACTAACTCCATAATGCCCACAAAAAGTGACTCCTATGACCTCCCTGTTTTTTTCAGTCCGTTTCCCCCACTTCCTAATCAGTCCTCTCTTACAAGCAGCACAAACTTCAACGGAATTATTATTATTTTTTTTACACAAAATGCTGGGGGAGGGGGAGTTCTACTAATTTTAATTGGGAAGAAATAAGTTGGGTTTGATGGAATTTTTTAAAAAGCTCAGATGCCTTCTCTCTCCCCCCCCCCCCAGTTTATCTTTCACCTTCTTCAAACCTGGAGATCTAGAAAAAACATGAAATTGAGTTCAAATGAACCCTACTCCATCTACATTAAGGATAGGTTTGGGGAGAGAGAAATTGAACGCCATCTAATCTCTCCAAAGGGGCCTTAATACCCATAAAGTCTTAATTTATGTGCTTAAATTCATACACTGCCCGTACGCCGTTAAATGTCTGGAAAGTTTTCCAACCACACTACAGCAAGCATAAAGAAATAGTGTGTCAGAGTAGGAACTGGGAGAACAGGGTTCAAACCCACTCTGCCATGACATTATATTTACTGGAGCACCTTGGGCTACCTTTTGCTAAAAGAGGGAGGGATAAGCTAAAATACAATAGCGGACCAAAAAGTAACACGATTTTAACATGGGTTGGAGATCTGATGCCCAAGTGCTGCGGGGAAAGCAAAAAAATGTAACATACACTCCTCCCCCGAAAAAAGGGAAGGATACCCCAATCTTAAAACCTCGCTTTTTTTTTTAAATGCTCCCACTGGTGTTCTAATGCAATTAATTTGTCATTAATCTGTTTCGTTACTTCCGAGGAATACGCTCAAGCAAATAGTGTAGGACCTACACTATTTGCTTGAGCGTATTCCTCGGAAGTAACTCCCATTCATTCCCCTCGGGGCGCGTTAACTCTAAAGTGAAAGGTCCCTGGCCGTCACCTTTCCTTTCTCTGCGCGTATTGCCCTGGCAGGCGCGACCTCTCTCCCCACCGCGGCTGCTGCGCTCCGTCCGCCCAGCCCAGCCCAGCCCCGCGCGCCCCGGCCCGGCCACTCACCGCCACAGCTTGCCGAGCGTCTTGCTGAGCTCGGCGTTGTGCAGATGCGGGTACTGGTCAGCCAGCTTCCGCCGGGCGGCCTGCGCCCACACCATGAAGGCGTTCATGGGCCGCTTGACGTGCGGCTTGGCTTTCAGCGCCCCGTTGCCGCGGACGGGCATGGGCACCAGGCTCCAGTCGTAGCCCTTCAGCACCTGCGAGACGGCGTCGCGGATGCACGCCGGGAAGCGCTCGTCCACGTCGCCCGGCTCGCCTTTGGGGCCGCCGCCTGGTCGCTGCGAAGAAGCCGAGGGCGCCCCCGGGGCTCCCTCCGAGCCCGCGGGCGACGACGGCGCGTCCGAGTCCGAGTCCACGTGGGACATGGAGCTGGCCGTGCCCGCGGGGCTGCCCGGCGCCTCCAGGGCTTTGGAGTGCTCCTCGCTCATGTTCAGCATCGGCGGCGCGCGAGTAGAGCCGGCCGGGAAGAGCGGGGCGCCCCAGCAGCGGGGCCCAGGAGCCAGGCACGGGCCAGCCGGGAGCGCACGGTGCCTGGAGCGCGCGATGGAGAGGCAGCGGGCACGACGCCAAGCCGCCTGCCGGGCGAAAAGCGACGCTGGGCCAGCCGCTGCAGCAGCAGTAAGAGCCTCCGGAGCGGAATCGGCAGCCGCAGCAGCGCCAAACGCGCAAGTCCCCCCGGTGCGCTAAACTCTCCCGTGCGCAAAAAGCGGAGCTCTCCAAACGCGTCCTCTTCGCAGCCACCGACGTCGCCAAGTAGAAGCCGAGCGGCGAAGCCGGCCAGCAACTTTCTTTGAGTGCGGGGCGAGGCAGCCCCTCCCCTCCCGCACTTCCGATTGGCGGCCTCCGACCGTCTCATCTGCATAGGAGGGCGGGGCTTTGACCCTTTCCGACTTCTTAAAGAGGCAGCCGCCCTTTTTTTTCTTTCTTTCCAAAAATGAGTGTATTTACTGCATTGAATGTAACCGGGACGGTTTTCTTTGCTGCCCTTTCCCCGTTAACCCCTTGAGTACCGCTTCCCTCTGGCGGGGTGGTGGGGGCAGTCATGCAGAGGACATTTCTCTCCAGCATCTCCTGCTCCGCCCCCCCCCCACAAAAAAGCCACCCTAAATTAATCGCTTAAACACTAAACTCCGATCAGACCTCAGCTGCAACACAAAGCAGGCTGCGAGGCTGTGCGCGGTTACCTGGGAGTAACCCTTACTGCGCACAGCGGAGCTTATTAGAGGACCATAAGGAGCCGAGGGAAGTCCTGCCAGGTACGTGCAACATCAGCCGAAGTTTGGCTTCCCACCGCGGCCGGGCAGATGCTGCTGCCGGGAAGCCCACAAGCAGCAAGGCAAGAGGGCGGTAGCTTTCCTCCACTGCAGTTGATGCTGCTGCCGCCGCCGCCGCCGAACTGCCGGCATGCAGAGATAGACTGCGTCTGAGCCAGGACGTTCCACGTAACTATTTATAGACGCCGCCGGGAATTGGTCTCATCGTCGCGAACTGTGACTATGGATCCCCGCCCTCTCCGAAATAGTTATTTTATCTATTTATTTGATTTCCTCCTCAGAAAGCCCAAGTCAAGAAACAAATATACTTTTTAATATTAAAAATGCCATATACAATGGGATCGCCGCACTCTGGGATCCTTGCCTCGGCTTGTATTACAATTCAGACTGTAAGCTCCTCAGAGACAGGGACCTGGAGTAGGTTGTTGTTTGCAGCGAAATTTAATAATTATCATTGTTATTAATTAAATGATGTTAAGAATTGTTATTTCTGTTAATACTCTATTAATAATTACTATTACCATTTATTGTTGTTGACGACTAATGGTTTTAATTTATATTTCTATTGTTATTAATGATAAAAATTAGTAGCAAAAACGAGTGGTGTTAATACTATCGCTGCTATTATTGATAATTGGTAATAATGATCATTTGTTTATTTGTATGCCACGCTCTCACAGAATTATGCCCAAAACAATTACTGTTGTTATTTATCACTGTTATTAGTTATTATGACCATTATTGTGGGGTGGGGGGGTTAAATTTTGGGAAGGGCCTCCTCTAAGGTTATTTACTTCCAAGCAAGTGACAGCAAAGGTCTAGAGCCTGCAGTCTAAGATTTTAATTTTACTCTTTTTTTGGAGAATTGGTATTGGGAAGGGAGGGGAGACGGGTAGAAGAACCTGGCTGCTGCCTCCTTGGCTAGGCAATCTGCCTCCCCACACCCACCAATGCCCTGTTCAGCTCAGCAGCCTTTCTCTTTGCAGGGCGTTTCTCCTGCCTCCACCAATGTCACATCCACCATTTGAAGAAAAAGCAAACGCTCACTGCACCCCTCCTCTTTTCCCTCTGCCTGGAGATATTTTCTTGCAGATTTCTTTTGATGGGGCCTCCAGATTTCCAAGCCGAAGGCTGGCAGGTTGGAACACAGGAAACTGCCCAATAGCAAGTCATGTCATTGCTCCATCTCACTCAGTATTGTCTACCTTGACTGGCAATGGGGAGAGAGTGCTCTTGTGTTTGGTTGGGTCCTGCTTGCAGGTTCCCCATCTGGGTGGCCACAGGATGCTGGACTAGATGGGACACTGGTCTAATCCAGCAGGCTCATCTTGTTGTTGTTGTTTAGTCGTTTAGTTGTGTCTGACTCCTCGTGACCCCATTTACCAGAGCACGCCAGGCACTCCTATCTTCCACTGCCTCCCGCAGTTTGGTCAAACTCATGCTGGTAGCTTCGAGAACACTGCCCAACCATCTCGTCCTCTGTCGTCCCCTTCTCCTTCTGCCCTCCATCTTTCCCAACATCAGGGTCTTTTCCAGGGAGTCTTTTCGTCTCATGAGGTGGCCAAAGTATTAGAGCCCCAGCTTCAGGATCTGTCCTTCCAGTGAGCACTCAGGGCTGATTTCCTTAAGAATGGAGAGGTTTGATCTTCTTGCAGTCCATGGGACTCTCAAGAGTCTCCTCCAGCACCATAATTCAAAAGCATCAATTCTTTGGTGATCAGCCTTTTTTATGGTCCAGCTCTCACCTCCATACATCACTACTGGGAAAACCATGGCTTGAACTATACAGACCTTTGTTGGCAAGGTGATGTTCCTATGTTATCAGGCCAAAAGTTGCTAAAAGATCCCTTTAACCAAATGGAAAGCAAGTGGGCGTGGGAAGGAACGGACACCAACTGAAACAGCTTCTGATCTCAGAGTTGCCTCCAAGCATCCACCTTTGCAAGGATTCTGCAACTGCACATCCAGAGTAGAGGGCACCTCCACCTCAGGAACAGGGGTCACCCTCAGGCTGACCCTTTAAAGACTCTCATTTTTACATTTACCAACAACAACAACCCCCCCCAAAAAAAACAGTTGTGGTACAAATCCCTGCAAACCCCTGGAAGCCTGGGTTCAGCTTTGCAGAGAAAAAAATCTGTTTAAATGTTCCCTGCCCCCCTGCAGCTGTTCTGCTGGAGCCAAAGGATTCCCCACTCTCCCCCCCCCAGCAAAAAAATATATATACACAATCAAGGGAGTCAGATGCCTTGGCAGAGGTTTGGCTGCCTGCCTGGGGCTGTGGATCCACATGCTGCCTGCATTTAACTTGGATTCTGCCTTACTGGCTTAAATTACGACTAAGCTGGTTTAAGGGAAGTGCTTATTTCTAATACAAACACACTAGGAATTCAGTTCCAGAATCACTTTCATAAGTTGCAGGTTTCCCTTCCTCCCACAAAATCAAAGAGCCTCTGAACATGCTCAGAGTGTTTTTCTCCCCTTTGCTACATAAGCACATTTGGAATAGCAATTCCCACCCACCCTCTCGAAAGCATTTGGATTTTATATTTCAGATATCAAAATGAGATCTTGTTTGTCTCTGGTCCTTTACCTCTTAGGGTTCTACAGCTGGTTTATACAGAGGTGGGCCATTGGTCCCTCTAACTCAGGATTGTCTACATTCTACAGCATTGTTGTGCCCACCCCCTGCAGCATGGCACCCAGTGTGGCTGCACCAGTCATGCTGCCCTAAAACCACCTTTGTTAAGACCCATCTCCAGATCGGGGGTGCCAACTATTCTGGGTCTTGGTTGTGTCTTTAACCGAATCCTTATCATAGAAGGATGGGATGCGGAACCTGGGGAACCTCAAGTGGTGCTGAACTACATTTCCCATCAGCCTCAGCCAGCTGCTTCAGGGTTACTCAGAGCACAGAAGCTGCCTTATACCAAATCAGATTGTTGGGTGATTCAGCTCAGTGTTGTCCACACTGCCTGCCTGCAAATCCCTAGGTTTCCAGGCAGGGGACATTCCAAGCTCTACCTGGAAATGCTATTGAGGATTGAACCTTAGACCTTCTGCATGCAAAGCAGAAGCTCTACCGCTTTCCTCCACGAGGCCAAGCCACCTTGTTCTACAAGTGTCAAAAGGTGATGTGGAATTTGCTGATATCACGCGCTGTAACCTTCCAACAGTTTGACTTCATTCCCAATGGTGCACGCCTCCATGTCTCCTGAGACAGGCGGGTGCCAGCCTGTGTGATTCACAAATTTACCTCTAAGGAAATCCTTCACTTTTATCTACATGGTATTTTTCACACGCAAGACTCACAGGGCTATTTGACAGGTGGGGTGAAGGGCAATCTACCTACAATCTCACAACACCCTCAAAACAAATAAGCTACCGGTATTTATCTTTACCTATACAATGCCTTATTATGTCCCCCCTTTTTAAGCAGAATAAAGCCAGCGGCACTGATGGGAAACTGGCAGAACAAAAGGCTCATTTAGAAGGGACTGCTCTGTAGCCTGAGAAGCCCCGAATGGTGTGACACCTGGCGAGATAGATCTTCAGAGAGGCTATCGATCAGTCTTGAACAAGAAAATATTAACTCAAGTTGACTTTGTGAATTCACTTTTAAACACGTGGGGGCTGTTAACCAATTTGGGGTTGTGGGGAAGGGTGGGACATTTCCTATAGTCTTCATCAATGTGGCACAATCTGGTTTAAGAAGAGTCCTCTTGGGTCAGGCCAGTGGCCCAGCTAGTCCAGCATCCAGTTCTCACAGATGCCTGTGGGAAAACCGCAGGCAGGATTTGAACACAAGATCACTCATCCTCTTCCATGGTTTCCAGCAACTGGTATTCAGAAGCATTACTGCCTTGACTGGGGATGCTTTGACTCCTACTGTGGGAACCAGGGGTGCCATCTTGAATAAAATATTGGGGGGAGGGCAGTCAGGTAAGCCCCACCCTGCATAATCAATCACAAGACATGGCACACACCCACCATTTAAATGGCAATGCTCATTAACTGGGGGGGGGGCACTAGGCAGGGACTTTCACTATACTCTTTTGCGTACTTGCTAAAAACCTTTTTCGTTTAGGCATGTCCAGATGTGTAGAATGCTGACATGCATCTTAATATAGTTATTAGCTTATCATTTTTTTAAATTTTTTGTGTGTGAATGTTTTAAATAGTTTGTTAAAACTGTTTCTACTGATTCATTCCATTGTTTTGATTCTCTTTGTAAACTGTAAATTTTGTGAAAACAAACAAACAAAGGCAAAAAACTTTAAAACTACATTTGGTTAGCTTGCAGACTTAAGAGTGTGAATGCAATGTTAATTGATTTATTTATAAATGTACCAGCCCTGCTTCCATTCAATACATATAGGCATATGAAACTAACAGACCAATATTTCAGGTTGTGCAGAGCCCCCCAATCCTGTTACTGATGCTCCTATTTGAACCCAGAGGGTGAGTCCCCTGG